CGTGTTTTGGATTTGGATTTAAAAATGACAAGCTACAAAAATCATATGGGAAAAGATTCTACATTGGATTTAGAAATGAAATTGGCTAATTTCTTATGAAACAAACAAAATGTAAAAAAGTTATGATATTTATGTAGTGTACTTACCAAGCACATCTAAATTATAACCAAAATATCTTTATAATACACAAGACATATCATGCCTTTTGAGCACCCCTAATATTTGGAAATTGAAAATTGTAAATTTTGACATGCCCTAGTACACATGAAAAATGTTAGGGTTATTTTATCAAAGCTAGATTTGATGAATCTCACTTGAACATTTTTGTAACTCAGAGAATTGCTTTCTGATGATAGTTTATGATTGCATGGATTATTTTTTGCTTAGCTAGCTAAGATTTACGTGGAAAAAAAACTTTAATTTTTGTAGCACAAGGTGTAATTTTGAGAACATAAAGTTAACAGTATTTGAGTTACAAGAGACTTTTGTGGGGCATATGGTCAGATGTGGATTAATCATACCAAGTTAAATGTTGTGCAGTTGGAAAAATAACAGCAGTTTTGAATTCTTGGTGTAAAAACACATATTTTAGAACCCGTCACTGAAAAAAAGCAAAATTAAGTTTCACCCCATTAAATGACATGCCCTAATTGTCTTAATAACTAAAAGAGATGCATACTTAATAAATTAGGGGAATGGATTTTTAAAAACAAAAAGAAGGAATATAAAGTTGGCTTATTTGATCAAGGTTAAAATATATATGATGTTTTTAATGGGTTTCTAAGAACAACCAGGACTAGACTTTAAAGATTTATTGTAGATATGACATGACTTTTTTGTTGTATTTTTAGAGAAAGTGGTTAGCTGTGGTGTTAGAAATAAAAGGAATGGTTACAAAATTAGTTTATTTGATTAAGGTTAAAATATGTTATTTTTTATATTTTTAAATTGGTAAATAAATTTCTGAGGTGAAACAAAGGAAATGATAATAAATTAACTTGTGAGTCACTATTTGAAGGAATTAATGATTAATCCCTTGACTACATCAAAATGTCAAGGCTTTTAAGATTTGTTTATAGATAAGAGATAAGATATGGGAAGAGAATTTTTTTATTGTACTTCTAAAGAAAATTATAAATTACTGTTTTAAAAAGAAAGAAATATAAAACTGATCTGTTTGATTAAGGTTGAAATGTTCTTGATATTTCTAGTTACTCTTAGGCATTACAATTTGTTTATAAATAAAAAATGGAATACGTGAAGAAGAGATATTTTGCTGAAATGTTAGAGCAGGTAATACAGGTAGTCCTTGGCTTACAGCAGTTCATTTAGTGACTGTTTGAAGTAATAATGGCACTGAAAAAGTGTCTCATGACCATTTTTCACACTTATAACCATTGCAGCATCCCTGTGGTCACATGACCAAAATTCAGATGCTTGGTAACTGATTCATATTTAAGATGGTTGCAATGTCCTGGGAGTGTGTGATCACCTTTTGCAATTTCTGACAAGCAAAGTCAGTGGAGAAACCAGATGTACTTAAGAACTATATCATTGAACTTCTGGTTGCAAGGCTTCGGCGGCGGCAGGAATCCGCTTCTCTGCGGGTCCCTGCTGCACTCGCCATCGAGGTACCCCCGATCCAACTGGATTTGGGGGTTGTCGCTGCCCTGAAGGGGCAGCGGAAGACAGAGGAGATCCGGGCAGGGGTCTGGGAATATCGCACCCCCCTTCCCCAGCCGGCTAGACTCCTTTTTCCTGAGGCTGTGGAGCGGCTGTCAGTAATGGCAGCCACAAAGAAATCTTCAACCGGATAAGATTGCGCAGGAGGAAGAGTCAGAAGGAGTTTTCTTGGCTGAACCGGGACATTAAGTTACTTTTAAAACACCCTGGAAACCTGACTTTGGATTGATACATTTGTTTCCAAAAGAATTTGTTACATCGGCAAAAGTGCTGAAGTAAAGCTCACTCCCCTTCCTTACGGAGAAAGCAAAGGAGCACAGAAAACCTGCTTTTTAAAGGTAAAAATAAGCTCTTTGTTACAAGTGGGAAGGAGAGGACTAAAAAATTTTTAAAAAAACTTTGTTGGAGGAGACGCCTTGAAGATTACAAGACCATCAATTAATTGTAATACGGCTTTTAAAATACATTTGGGATTTTGCCCCTGGAGGAAAAACTGTAAAGAGAAGAAGAGGAAATAATTTTTGTTTGTTTGGATTTTTTGATAACTCTGACATTTGGAAATTACTTTAAGATTGAAAGCATCTGGGTTGTTTTTAAAAACCTATAATGGTACCATCTGTTGATGAACTGAAAATGGAATATGAAAAATTAAAAGAAAGACAACAAAATGGCAAGGATTCCTTGGGAGCTGCCTTCCATTTTTTAGAAATTTTTTTAGAAATTTCTACGTACCAGCAAATACTGGAGGAAGGAGAAGAAGAAGAAGAAGAAGAAAAGGAAGAAGCCATCTTTAATGGACTAAAAAGTTCGACTAAGAAAGAAAATGGGAAGAGAGGAAGGAAAAATGAGAATTTAAGATTTAATAAAACAACCAAGAAAAAGAAAAATAGGGTGAAAAGAAGGTACAATGTTAGAAAGCAATGGAAAAGAGAATTACAACAGAGAGGGGAAGTTAAAAAGGGGGAGGCTAGGAGAGGGGGGGGCAAAAAGACCAGATTGGAGAAGAAAGGGAGGGAAAAAGAAAAAAAAAGCCACGGGCTAGAACAAGATTTTAAAAAGGAATTTTTTTTTAGAGACGAAGGATGATGGATAGTGCATAATTAAAGAAGATTCTGCAAGAGTGCATAAGATAGTATTGTAGTATTTGCATTTGAAATAGTTTATTGGAATATTTAATAAAATATTAATGTTTAATAATGATAAATGTTGATATTTAATAAAATATTAGGAGAATGTGTAAAATGATTAATGCTTAGTTATAGTTTAATTTGTTATTGTTTTAATGTTATTATAAACTTAGTATTTTATTTTCTTATTCTAAAACAATGTACTTATCAGAATTAGAATTAGAATAGAAATTATACATTTAACTATACTATAAGTTTACTATTCTTTTATTTTAAGATTTAATATGTAGAATGTACTAAGCAGAATCAGGATGGAAATTATGTATTATTTTAAGTTTTATTTTAGGGGAAGGCGTCATACTTTAAAAGTGATTACAGGGGAAATTTTTTGTTAAAGAGAAGAGATAAATAGATGTTTGGTAAAGAACGGACAAAAGATATAAGTATAATGACTTTGAAATAAGATGAAATAAATAAAACATAATTAGGAGAGTGAAAAGATGGGAGAAGTTATATAGAAAATATAAAATGGTTAATAAGATATGAAGGGTATATAAGGTGGGCATGAATTTGATTTAGGTCTGCCAAAAAAGATGTAACCTGGGGCTAAGTCACTTTTCAAAAGAAGTTCTATGTTTTATGTTTTGTGTGTTGATTATTTATGTTTGATTGTAAATTAATAAAATCTTGGAGAAATGAAATCAAAGGGAGAGAAATTGGGAAAAGATATGTATAAATGATAACTAAGGAGGTTTTTTTTTAATGTTTTGCTTTAGGTTATGTATTTTGTGTGCTTATGACTGATTGAGAATTACTAAAACTTTGATAGAAAGAAATATAATTGAACAAAAGTGAAGGGAGAAATAATGAGAAATTTGGAAAAGATATATATGTGTAAATGGAAATGTGATAATGTGGAACTATGTTTTAAAAAAATAATGCTTTATTTGCCTTGTTAAAATTTATAAGTAATTCTTAGAAAGGAGGTTTTATACTTTTATGTGTTATGTTTTGTTTGTCTTCAAAAATCAATAAAACTTGTTCTTAAAAAAAAAGAACTATATCATTAACTTAACAACAATAGTGATTCAGTTAACAACTATGGCAAGAAAAGTCATAAAATGGAGCAAAACTCACTTAACAAATGTTTAACTTAACAAATTCTGGCCTCAGTTGTGGTCATAATTTGGGGAATACATGTAGCTGCTGAAATTGTTTTACTTTCTTAATGAAGGGGAAGTGCTTTCTTTATATATATATATATATATATATATATATATTTCTTTTCCCCTGCACTTTTTCTCTTTTTCCTATTTTTCTTAGTTATTTTAACTTTGTATTTTTAAATGTTAATAAAAATCATTATTAAAAAAAGAATTAGGAATATATAATATTAAAAGACAAAACTGTCTGATAGTATACTTCAAATACTTCAAAAATTATGCATAGAAGACAGCCAAATCCTATTCTTTCTTTATTACTCCCAAGTGCAGGACAGGTTACAGAACAGCAGATTCTGATTGACTGTTAGAAGGAATTTCTTAAGAGGAAGAGCAAATTGATTGTGTTGGTGATACCTTGAAGTAGAATTATTTATTTAGAGTGCCTCCATCTTGTCCAAGTTTATCTTCATTTTGTTGACCTTCATCAATCCTGTTACAACTCCAGACAGTTGTTCACCATTTTTGTAAATAGTGTTTCAACACATTCTAGATTATTCCAAGAAATAAAGATAAGCATAATCAGCATACAAATGATATGTATTTCAAATACAATTTACTGCTTTTGTTTAACTGGTACGGGGACATGAGGATTCAGATAGAACTTTTCAGAACTAACTCATAGTGTGAAATTCATGCAATAAAGCAGAAGATCCTCATTATTATTGTCTGAAACTAACTTTTAAGAGAAATGGAGAATCATTACATCATTAGTGCTCATCAAATAAAATATTAAGGCAGATTTTAACAAAATCACTCAAAATATCAGCAAAGTACTTTCCAGGCGGAATTCCTCCCCCAGTCTCCCCTAATACTGGTTTGACTTGCCTTTTTTAAAAATAAAGCACAGAGTTACCTGAGATCATCATTATATACAGAAAGTTGCAAATTAAGATTTTTGTTTTATTTCGAGCACTTCACTGACAGAGTTGCTTTTCCATTTTTAAAACCTTTTTACTTTATATTACAGGTCATATTGTAGCTGTTGCAAGCAATGATGGAACCGTTAAGACTTTGGAACTCAAATCAGGACATCTTGCCAGCTTATTGGGCCATGAAGATAAAGTTCAGAGTGTAATATTTGATCATATGGCAGAACATTTAATTTCAGGTGGTTCTGATGGCACTATTCGTATTTGGAATTGAGACCACTATTAGAGAAATATAGCACTGAGGGTGGCTTATAATGCCCTCATCTGAAATAAACATCTGAAATAAACAATTACATTTTACATTAAATAAAATATCTATATTTTTACTTAAATGAAAACAATATTCCAAACTTTATTGTTCTTGTATCTTTCTTCATGGCTTTAAATATGTATTAAAATATATACAATTTGCCATTTTTCTGAAGAAATAGCTTTATATTGACATCTAATGACAGAAAACATGAACTGCAGAGAGCCCCTACCCCACCCCTTTTCAAGTTATTATAGTGAAAACTACAACTGACTGTCTCATTTTGTGAAAATAATAAAATATATAACTTACTACAGTTTCTGCGAATAATTTTTTGGGGAGGTGGGTAGGAGCTTAATATTTCTCCATATAACATTTTAAAAATATGCATGCATATTCAAACACACTGAGACTCATGTAGCAAATGTGGTAATTTTTGGGGGGGGGGGAGAGAATTCTGCATTAACAAGGCAATAATCAGACCAATGCCTTGGTTGTTACCTTTGCCAAATCATTCAGTAAATGCAGAAAGCTTCAGTCTACCTACTTCCACTTCCTGTAACGTAGTCCTGCAGTCTGATTCCTAGTGCCTTGAAAATAAGCAGATTTTTTTCAATGAAGGTGATCATCAGATGTAGATAACATTTAGGAGGCATTTTATAAAATACCTTTTCCTTAAGAAAAGTGCCTAAGGACAAATCTAATGCCAGTGAGCAAATGCATCGGACTGGGGTGAAAAGGCGGGGGGGGGGGGGGAGTTTGCTGCTCAGAGGAGCGGCACGTTCTGCCTGCATGATGCAAAATGAGAGTCACAGGCTGCTGTCTGTGGTGCTGAAGATTTCCAACTGCTTGATGGAATGCCCTCCGGAGGAATAGATGCTGGGCTGCTGCTATCCAGGATACTGAATCTTGCTGAAAGTTGTTATTGTGATTAAGAGCCACAAGAACCCCACTGCTTATTTGGGGAAGAGCCTCTAGAAAGCAGCATAGCATGATGGTGCTGCTGACTGCATTTCAGTCTGGATTGGCTCTGAGCTCTAGCATGCTGGTGCTGTTTCTGGGACTGGAAGCATAGCATATTCTCCACCCTTGTGTGCCTTTTTGCTGATATATATAGTGATTTAGTGGGATTTTTTAAATTTTATTTTTGATGGACCTGAAGACTGCAACCAAGGAAATAGATTTTGTAAAATCCTGGAACGATGATTCTTTTATTTTTTGTTTTTATTGTTTTGTTTTGGACTCTTATTTTGTATAAAGCAGTCTCATCTTTGGACCCTTTTATGACTGATTGCTTTGAATTTTGAACAGTTGGCTAAAGCTTACATCTCTTGGGGATCTGCTGAGGTTCTTCTATGACATGGGAGGCTTTAGAAAAAAAAATTTTTTCATAATACTCCCGCACAAATATAATTAAGAAGAGTTTTTTTCCCTACTATATTGCTGAAGTACAAATCCATTGTGGTTTGTGACTCTTCCTACCATTCACTCTGAGTAGGTAAGTACCCATTTTTAAGAGAAAATGATGTTGATTTCCCAAATATTTAATAGTACCTTAATATCTCCTTTCAAAAACCAAATAAATGTAAATAATATATGTTTTGGGTTTGATTTTTAATCAAGGAACTTCATTATCATCCCATTTTTCTCTGCATCAAAATAAATATGTATAAATTGTAAGCAAAATATTTAGGATGATCAATTACTGCAGTGAAACCTTGTACCACTTTCTGAAATGGATTTTGCCTTTGCCCAGATGTCTGACAAAATTGATTGAATCCTGCTGTCCTTATAATAAATAGCTTCTTTTGAATTCACTAAAAAATGTAAGTTTCCTCAGCTTTAAGTATGGCAGACTAAAGCCTACCTGTAGAATGCAAGTGACTGTCTATTCAGAGCTGAAAGGCAAGCTAAACATTTTTATATCATCCAGAAATAAAATACTGTGATTGTAAGAAAGGCTCCCATAATTGCAGTAAAATTTTCCATTGTAGTAAAATCATGTCCTAGAGCATAAGCAATGAGACAGCAAGCTTTTGAAATGCATAGTCCTTCTTTATAGAAGCATTTTAAGAGCCTACTTTGTTAACCAAATTATTTTACTAGTTCTGTAATATACAAAGATTGCCTATTCTCTGAGTCATTTCTGTTGGGCAGTGAAATAATATATAAATCAACATAAATATATAAAATAATATATATACATTTTGCATTTATTTGTATGAAAACCATAATTCTATTGCTATTGGAATCTGCACACTGGTATAATATTAATTACTAATCCATTTGATCCCATAGTATCAGACAAGCAGAATAGGCTAGGCTATTGTTTAATTTGCAGTTGCATGTTTCATATGCAATGAATCAAAACATCACTTGACAATAGAGCATTTTATTATAAATTTTGTTAGAAATTATTTCATCATAAGATATTTTACTGTCCAAATTCATAAAAAAGAGGGAATCCTACCATATCAATCTTCAAATCTTTGGTTAGAGAACCTGTACCAGAGTCAGAGTAATGTACCAATGTGAGGGGTACATTATTGACTATAATCAACAGGAAAACAGGAGAATAGAAGTAATGTTTAACAAAGCAACAAGGCTTTCTGCAATTTCAAATGAAACATGTGGTGTGAATTATTGGTTCTCCATGCACATATGGATGTATAAGAAAATGAAGTGACATGGCCTACCGAGAAATCCTATTCACCTACTGGCTTTGAACTGCATATGGTGAGTAAGGTATCACATTTGTAATAATTTGATGAAATGCCATTTCTGAAACCTAAAAAAGAGACCGAAAATGTAAAAGCAGGAGAAAAACAGCTGGTAGCTACAAGTATAAGCACAGATATGGGCAACTACTACTGGATCTTGATGTGACGTCAATCTTCAGGAGAGCACAATGGAGGTCTTACTAAGAAGAGGCCAGGATGAACCTGTTTTAAGGACAGATTACAATATACAGTATAAAGATTCAGCAATCTTAAGTAATTAAAACTCCTAGTATCTTAAATATAATTTGGTTGTAAAGGATCTTTAAAATGCAAATGCTCTTTTCATTTTATTTTTCATGAAAATACATATTTTGAATGGTGTTGGACACTTAACCTGGGTTGGAAGCAATATCTTTGCTTTGTCCCATTCTTAAAAGTATCATTTACAGCAATTTAGTAAAAGCAAAAAGAACTATGTCTGTACTGATAAATGTGCAAGCTATCCAATAAAATAAGTTTGATTTGCAATTGTTTACAATATAAATATTCAACTTGGTAATTAGATAAAATGTAAAGATGTAAAAATGTAAAGATGCAGCATCTTATTTTCATCTTTTTTAACTAACAGGCAAAATGACCAAATGTGAATAACATTTTCTCATACTTTTCTATTTATAACAATGTATCATATGAAGAAAAGCTTGAATCAAAAACATGGCAAGGAAATGTTTTGCATTATTTCTTTAATTTAGTGAGAATATTGTTCTATTTTACTTTTAAACTAAAATATTGAAATGCACAGAGCATATGCCATTGAAATCAAGATGAATTAAGATTTCCTTGCAACAGAAAAGAGCCTGTGCAACTTGAAGACTATTCAGGTTACATGCATGTTTTCCTGTTTGTTATTACTAGAGTCAGGATGGAAATATGGACTGGTTTACTTTGCTATTTTAAGAATTGATAGAAGACAGGATTTCTAATGAGCTAAAGCCTGGTAGATGGAAGGCACGAGTAGGGGGAAATGCATTTTTTGAGGGGGGAAAAACATGTTTCAATTTCTTTTTTATATATATGTTTTCAGTGTATCACATTGGCCTCTCCATGGAAGCATCCATACATATCTGATATAAGCACCATACTCAGAAGCTCAGGAGGGGGAATGGCTCTTCATATTCATGAAGCCTACATATTTCTGTTGCTAATTCCTTCTTTGGTCACTCCAGCTGCTTTCAATCATGAAGACTACCCTGCTGATGAAGGTGACCAGATTTCAAATAATGATAATAATCTGATTTTTGATGACTATCGGGGGAAAGGATGTGTAGATGACAGTGGTTTTGTATACAAACTTGGGGAGCGTTTTTTCCCTGGGCATTCCAACTGTCCATGTATTTGTACCGAGGATGGGCCTATTTGTGACCAACCAGAATGCCCCAAAATCCACCCAAAGTGTACTAAAGTAGAACACAATGGATGTTGTCCAGAATGCAAAGAAGTGAAGAACTTTTGTGAATACCATGGGAAAAGTTACAAAATCCTAGAGGAGTTTAAGGTAAGACCAAAAAATGTTTATTGATGTAATCACTTGGTTGATTATGTACAGTTGACTATGTACAGACAGTGTTCAATGCTGGATTAATCAGGTTTTACATAGACTCCCCCCAACCTCATTATAACATTAGTTGTAATTTCTGTAAATAGTTGGTGATCTGCCATACTAGTTAATGGATAGGTCAGAGAAAAATAGGATATGAAAAGGAAACACAATTACCAATCTTACTTCATAGGTATACGGTTGTAGGGTTTCCATTTAAACTAATGTTTAAGTGTATACTTTTCTGTTCAAAATCCTTGGATGAAATAAAGCCCAGAGCTATGAATTAACTCAAAGAAGTATGTCAGTCCAAATATTTCTTCTAAAAATATATATATTAGACTTCTTGTTTATAATATAGACACCACTTTAGCTGTTTGGCTTACTGAAACTTAGTGAGAGAAATGCAAACTTGTTCAATGAAGCAAACAAAATATATAATGTGCAACAAGGGATGTCTGGTCTAGTAATAATATTTCTGAAAATATTTGATTAATAATAAGCTAAGTGTCTGCAATGTGACATTGCTTCAAAAAAGGCAAATGTAATATTAGACTACATATTGTAACAGAAATATAGTTTTAAAATTATGAAAGAAAGTTGCTCCATTTTATTTTCATTAACCAGATCCCAAATACTATCTTAAGTTATAGACACTAGGCTTTTGGAAGAATTCAGGCAACATGGAATATGCTTAGAAATAACCAAGGAATATGATCAAGGGGTTAGCTGTCAAGTCCCATGAGAAGAGTTTGAAGGAATTAGAATGTTTAGTCTAAAGAACACTCGGGGAGAATGTGACACTGTGACAGTATACTTCAAATATCCGAATGGATGTCACATGAGGAAAGTGAAATGATTCTCTGTCATGTCAGAGTAGCAATAAGGGATTAATTGATAGGAAAACAAATTTGCCTTCACTGAAGTATTCAAACAAAATGGACAGTCATCTGTCATGTATGCTTTCATCCGAATTCCTGCCCAAAATGATTTTTGCTCAAGGGTTCTTTAAGTATAGTTCTCCAAGATTTCCATTCCAAAGCTTGAATGAAATTTTTTAGTAATGCTACCAATGTGGCCCTAACATTCATCACTTTGTTCTCTATGTAAAGACATACTTTAGATTTAATGACTCTTGGTATTTACTATCAATTATATATTATTTTAAAGATTATTTGTTATGGCTCTTTGCTCCTTCCATCAGGATAATACAGAAGAAAACTGCTATTTTACTCATGTCATTGCAGAAAAATATTCATAATCAGTAATTTGCACATTGTGGGCACAATCTAGGCAAATTTAGTTAAGAGACTAGAAAGATTGTAAGAGAAATTATAATTCCAAGGCATTCTTATTCCAGATTGCCTTGTTCCCCTGTTGTTCCTTGTCAGTAGAATCACTGGTGAAGGGTGATTTTGTCTTCTTCATTTCTTAAGCAAGCTTACTCCAAGTTGCTGCAGCTCTTACTAACATGGTTCTGTCATTGAGAAATGTGAAAAGTACTTCCAAAGCACAGTGCATTGCAAACCATGTACTACTACTGTATGAAATCCAAAAAAACCATTTCAGGGGGATGAAAATAATTTAATAAAAAAAAAAAAATATTTTGATAAAATAAAATTTTAGTAAGACAGCTAAACATATTTTATTACAATAAATGAAAATTGGAAAAGAACCATATTTTCTCTTTCTCACACAGGTCATAATATGGAATAACTGGGAATTCTTATGTGTATGAAAAAATTATCTGCTTTAGGATATTTCAAATACCTTCTTCAAATTTCCAGTCTGCTCTGATGGTCAGTTCTAGTGGAAATTGTTCACCCCTTCCCATTATTATTAGAGAATTACTAAACACTATTGGTTGGATTGTTGTGAACATTGCTATGAAGATCTTGTCATGAAAGTTTGAATGTGTGAACTCTTATATGCTATTTGCATAACTGTAGCTCCATAAAAGCATGGCTGAAAACTGTTGTTTTGATGTTGCAATTTGTTCACATGAAATGGTTCTCCATATAGGATAAGTAATCACCTTTCAAAATAATAAATCCACTTCAGTTTGCAATTTAAGATACTACAGCACAAATTGCCTGAGCTATATAAAGAATCCTTCCAGTAATGATATGTGGGAATGGCCTTGAGAGACAGGACAAAAGGGACACAACTAAAGGAGTAACTGAGAAATTCTTGCAGTGGAAGGAGCTCAGAAGAGACCCTCCCTAGTTTGGGGGTTGCAAAGAGGGTGGGGAGACCCAGGTATGCTCAGATCTGCAAGATTCGATTAAGGCAACCTTGTAATAAAGTAGAATTAGCTCTCTGATCATGTTTTCTGTCTACCTTGTAAGACTGACACTTCCTCACAAAGAAACTTGCATATGAATTAAGCTGAAATATCAGTGGACAAAAACTCATCAGACTAAGTAATCAGTGGAAATTGACATTCTACATCTGGGAGAAATGAACTGAGTTGTTGATTAGTGAAATTATTTATCCAGTAAAATAACATTTTGAAATAAATCTTTCCACATATGACAGGTTCTGAGTTGCATGCTTATTAAGAATATTTCCGTGAAAACATTCCAATTATGGACAAAAATCTACTTATAAATAGATTCCAAAATAAAATAATCCAAAGAAAAGTATCTTATAGACCAGGGGTCGCCAACCTTTTTGACCTCAGGGACCACCAAACTCATACTTTTAAATCCCAAGGACCACTAATATGATTTTTTTTAAAAAAAGATAATATAAAAAAAATATTTTATATTAAATATAAATTTAATATTTTAAAAAATAATTATATATATATATATATATATAATAAAAATGCTTATTTAATTATAACAAAATCATAAATGTTTAATCATAACTATGGACAGAGCGAAGGGAAAGGACGGGCCTCTCTCATTCTTGGGGGCAGGGGGGGAACAGGGAGGATTTAAGAGCCACATGGTGCCTGGAAGCTTGGAAGATCTGGATGGGGAGGAACTGGCTCCCCCTCAAATGGAAGAAAAGCATGTTCTCCCCCATGTCAGTAGAAACCTCTCCCTCATTCACCAGGTGTGGCTGCCTGGAGTTGGGGGAGGGAAGGAGGGCCGGGCTGGAAGTGCCGACGAAGATGGGCTCCTAATAACTAGGCAACACCCTCCCTTTGGCCTCCACACAAGAGGACTTCCCGAGGCTAAGCTCCTGGTTTCTCCTACCGCTTCCAAGCAGAGAAGGATCCCTCCCTGTGTGGAGGCAGAAGGCAGGGTGTTGAGCCCAGAAAAGCTGGAGCTCTCGCCTGCACAAACAGGCTAGTTATTAGGAACCCATCTTCCTCGGCACTCTTTTGGTCTGTGCATTTAGTCTCTTCTCTCCCCCCGCACCCCATGCCAAAGGAAAGCCAGCTGGGCTTCTCCTTCCCTCGTACCCTTCCCCCTGCTCCCTTCCCATCACTCAATCCAACTTCAGGGCAGAGGAGAGCCCGCTGGAAATGTGTGTTGGCATTTCCAAACACCTTCCTCCGGTGCTCGCCCTCAATTCTTTGCATTCCTCCAGGCCTGGCTTGCTGAGGCGGGGGAGAGCAGCCCTGATGTCTCTGCTGCCCTCCCACTTCCAGGAAAAGAAAGCGAGCAGAAATAGCTCCTGCTGGGGGAAAGAGCGGAGATCGGAAGGCACAGACAACAGAAAATGGCACTTTTCAAAGGCGGCAGCTTCTGTCTTCTCTTGCCTGTGCCTTCTTCGATCTGAGTTCTTTTGCCTCAGTGAGAGCTATGCTTCTGCTCGCTTTTCCTGTGCTTTCCCCAGGCAGCAATGGCTGGGGCCATGGGGGGGGCAGCAGAGCAGAGCGCCGACAGGGACGAGAAAACTGATGCTGATGCCCCATTCCGGACCTGTGAATTGGATGGTGAGCACAGACTTGCCCACTCCCACCCTCACCAGCCAGTACTTTTCCTGCCCTGGGCCGTCCCTACAGTCCATGGCCATAGAGGAAGAGCCCAGGCCAGGAGAGGCAAACTGGAAGGTGTGAGAGTGCTGCACAAATGCAAGTAGTCTGGCACTCCTGCACTTTCCAGCCATCTCCATTGCCGCTTCAGCATGCCTGTGCCGCCAGCCTCCTCTTGCTGCAACAGCACCATTACTTCGTCCTGGCCGGTGAAGGCTGTGCTGATTTTTGCAGGTTTGCGCTCAGCCAAAGGGTGGGAGCCAGCGGGTGGATTAAGCCTGGATTAATTGCTTTGGGGGGTGTTTTGTGGGTACATTTCTTTGTGGGGACATTTCTCTGTGGGCCACCAAAATTTTCTCATGGACCACTTTTATAGACTTACATGAGCTTATAACTTGCATTGGGAAAAGTTTGAGGGTTGCTTCATGCTAACTACCCTCCTAGATTTTCACAAAGAGGTCAACCTCTGCACCTCTGGTCATTTTAGTTGGAGGAGTGGACAAGAGGAAATTTTATGTCAGACAGAGGGATGGGTTGGCTCAAAGAAGCCCAGTCATAAAGCAATAATTGAGTCTCCGGTATTTCTAGGCAATAATAAAATAAGAAAAAAGGGACAAATGTTATACATTTCAAAGATATGTTTTTAGCATGACACACCAAAGTGGCAACTGAATTTACAATTTCTCTTTTCATTTTATAGTTCTGGCAACACAGAGCAAGATTCTACAATATAAATTAAGAATACTGTAATAGGATTGCCCAATCTGTGAAGGAAACTAATAACTTTCTACAAATATGAGGAACAAACTGAAAAATTAGTTTAGTTCATGGCCAATGTATGCACAATTATTTACCTAAGGAAAAAGGAGTAGTTGAACAGAGATTGGTAGTAATCAAACAACTGTATTCAACTGGAAAAAATGCTTTGAGAACTACAATGGTATCTCAGTACTCATCATAAATTGGTTCTAGGAAGTGCAATGAGTACCAAACAAATTTTTCTCCTAAGGAATAATGTAGTGAGTCA